AGACAGCAAAGACAAAGAAGTTCTGGAATGTCAGCAAACTACAGTATGCAATCAAGGCAATGAGATGTCTCAGGTACAAGGATGTGGAAGCAGGTGATAGCCAGCTGGCCCATGGGAATGGGGAGATAGCACAGCAAGAGGTGAGGTTAGCAGCCAGGGCTGATGAGAGCCCCAATCTGCCAATGGGAGAACTTGGGATCTGGCCACGGTGCACCCCAGAAGTTAAGCAGTCTGTCAGATATAGAGGTCTCTCTCCCAAAGAGGGGATGCCAGTTGCTAGGAGACAGACTGGGTGGGAGATCCAGTTGATGGAGCAACAGTAGGAGTGTCAGCAAGCGAAGTAACACAGTGCCCCACCTCTGGATTAGGGTAGCAGAAAGGGCTATAAGCCGGGTGGCAACTGGAAACTTTTAGAGAGGGCTCAACATTTCACTCTGGGTGAAATCAGATGTGTGACAATAAAGCCATGTGAAAAGAAACTCTGGAGAAGCTTATTTACTCAGGAGAAGGACTGTGCCTCTTGACAGTTTCTATCTTATTGCTCTCTTAACTGAAGCTTCCAGAAGGTTCAAATTTAGATTCTCCTTTTTAAAACTACAGAATCCTATCTACACTTAAAAGGTAAACAATTCACTGAACCACAGCTGTGCAATACTGTTCAGGAACAAAATCAGGAGGAAGAAGCAGGGCTTCCCCTGCAGCAGAAAAAGAAATGAAGACTTCTAACACTGCCTTGTCGTGGCAAAGGGGCTTGCGTAGCTCAATGAAGCTATGAGCTATGCCGTGCAGGGCCACCCAAGACAGACAGGTCATAGCAGAGAGCTCTGACAAAACGTGATCCACTGGAGAAGGAAATGGCAACCCACTCCAGTATCTTTGCCATGAAAACCCCATGGACAGTGCCAAAAGGCAAAAAGATATGACGCCGGAAGATGAGCCCCTCAGGTCAGAAGGTGTACAGTATGCTGCTGGGGAAGAGCAGAGGGCTAGTACTAGTAGCTCCAGAAAGAATGAAGCGACTGGGTCAGAGCCGAAAGGACACTCAGTTGCTGATGTATCTGGTGGTGAAAGGAGAGTCCGATGCTGCAAGGATCTATACTCCATAGGAACCTGGAATGCAAGATTCATGAATCAAGGCAAGCCGGATGTGGTCAAACAAGAGATGACAAGACTGAACATCGACATCTTAGGAATCAGTGAACTAAAATGGACAGGAATGGGTGAATTTAATTCAGATGACCATCAGGTATACTACTGCGGGCAAGAAGCCCTCAGAAGAAATGGAGTAGCCTTCATAGTCAATAAAAGAGTAGGAAAGGCGGTACTGGGATACAATCTCCAAAATGACAGAATGATCTCAGTTCGAATCCAAGGAAAACCATTCAACATCACAATAGTCCAAGTCTATGCCCCAACCACTGATGTTGAAGAGGCTGAAGTTGACCAGTGCTATGAAGGCCCACAGCACCTTCTAGAATTAACTCCAAAATATGATGTCCTTATCATCATGGGGGATTGGAATGCTAAAGTAGGAAGCCAAAAGATAACCGGAACAACAGGCAAGTTTGGCCTTGGAGTACAAAATGAAGCAGGGCACAGGCTAGTAGAGTTTTGCCAAGAGAATATGATGGTCATAGCAAACACTCTTTTCCAACAACCCAAGAGACGACTACACACATGGACATCACCAGACGGTCAACACAGAAATCAGATTGACTATGTGCTCTGCAGCCAAAGATGGAGAAGCTCTATACAGTCAGTAAAAACTAGACCAGGAGCTGACTGTGGCTCAGATCATGAGCTTCTTGTTGCAAAATTTAGGCTTAAGCTGAAGAAAGTAGGGAAAAGCACTAGGCCACTTAGGTATGACCTAAATCATATTCCTGATGAATATAGAGTAGAGGTGACAAATAGATTTAAGGAATTACCTCTGATAGACAGAGTGCCTGAAGAACTATGGACGGAGGTTCTCAACGTTGTACAAGAGGCAGCAGCTAAAACCATCCCAAAGAAAAAGAAATGCAAGAAAGCAAAATGGTCATCTGAGGAAGCTTTACAATAGCTGAGGAAAGAAGGGAAGTGAAAGGCGAGGGAGAAAGAGAAAGATACAAACAATTGAATGCAGAATTCCAGAGAACAGCTAGAAGAATGCCTTCTTAAATGAACAGTGCAAAGAAATAGAAGAAAACAATAGAATAGAGAGGACCAGAGATCTCTTCAAGAAAATTGGAGATATGAAGGGAATATTTCATGCAAAGATGGGCATGATAAAGGACCAAAATGGCAGGGACCTAACAGAGGCAGAAGAGATTAAGATGTGGCAAGATTACACAGAAGAACTATACAAGAAAGAGCTTAACATCCCTGCTAACCATGATGGGGTGGTCACTAACCTCGAGCCAGACATCCTGGAATGTGAAGTCAAGTGGGCCTTAGGAAGTCTGAGCAACAACAAAGCTAGTGGAGGCGACAGTATTCCAGCTGAGCTATTCAAAATCCTAAAAGACGATGCAGTAAAAGTGCTACACTCAATATACCAGCAAATTTGGAAAACTCAACAGTGGCCACAGGATTGGAAAAGGGTAGTTTACATTCCCATCCCAAAGAAGGGCAATGCCAAGGAATGTTCAAACTACCGCACCATTGCACTCATTTCACATGCTAGCAAAGTTATGCTCAAAATTCTACAAGCTAGGCTCCAGCAGTATGTGGACCAAGAACTACCAGAAGTACAGGCAGGATTTCAAAGAGGGAGAGGAACTAGAGATCAAATTGCCCACATATGCTGGATCATGGAGAAAGCTAGGGAGTTCCAGAAAAACATCTACTTCTGCTTCATTGACTATGCTAAAGCCTTTGACTGTGTGGATCACAACAAATTGTGGCAAGTTCTTAAAGAGATGGGAGTACCAGACCATCTCATTTGTCTCTTGAGAAACCTATATGCGGGTCAAGAAGCAACAGTGAGAACTGGACACGGAACCACTGATTGGTTCAAAATTGAGAAGGAGTTTGGCAAGACTGTATACTGTTGCCCTGCCTATTTAACTTATATGCAGAGAACATCATGAGAAAGGTGGGGCTAGATGAATCACCAGTTGGAATTAAGATTGCTGGGAGAAATATCAACAACCTCAGATATGCAGATGATACCACTCTAATGGCAGAAAGTGAAGAGAAACTAAAGAGCCTCTTGATGCGGGTAAAGGAGAAGAGTGCAAAAGTTGGCTTGAAACTCAACATTAAGAAAACTAATATCATGGCATCCGGTCCTCTCACTTCCTGGCAAATAGATGGGGAAGAAATGGAGGTAGTGACAGTTTTTATTTTCCTGGGCTCCAAGATCACTGCAGATGGGGACTGCAGCCAAGAGATTAAAAGACGCTTGCTCCTGGGGAGGAAAGCTATGGCAAATCTAGACAGCATACTAAAAAGCAGAGACATCACCCTGCCAACCAAAGTGCGTATAGTCAAGGCTATGGTTTTCCCAGTTGCAAGGTATGGCTGTGAAAGCTGGACCATAAGGAAGGCTGAGCACCGAAGGATTGAGGCCTTTGAATTGTGGTGCTGGAGGAGACTCCTGTGAGTCCCTTGGACCGCAAGGCGATCAATTCAGTCAGTCCTAGAGGAGATCAACCCTGACTGCTCTTTAGAAGGCCAGATACTGAAGATGAAACTCAAATACTTTGGCCATCTAATGAGAAGAAAGGACTCCCTGGAGAAGAGCCTAATGCTGGGAACAATAGATGGCAAAAGAAGAAGGGGACGGCAGAGAATGAGGTGGCTAGATGGAGTCACTGAAGCAGTTGGTGTGAGCTTGGGTGGACTCCGGGAGATGATGATGGACAGGAAGGCCTGGAGGAATGTTGTCCATGGGGTCACGATGGGTCGGACACGACTTTGCAACTAACAACAACAAATAAACATAGTTCAGCAACAGATATCTCCAATTTAAATATGCTCTTAAGAAAGGAAGTTCCAAGTTGATTGCCCAAAACAAACTGTTATTTGGAAAAAAATGGAGCAGATTGTCTAGTGTTGTGTAGTATTTTGGTGAATACCATCTTTTCTCCAGAGTCCACGATACCATACAACTTCGTTGCTCCACCCTTCCAAGGTGCCTATAGAATACTATCTTGCTTCCAGCAACACCTCCACCCAATTCTTGGCGTTTTAACTACACACTAACCTTGATTTCTTCCTAAGCATATCTGACAGCAGGTAGGTGCCATTCCCATAATAGAGAGTCTCCTATTGCAAGTGATTTAATAGTATTGCTATGTTGAAGGAACAAAAGACCCCTCCCCAAAAAGGAAAATAAGTAAAATCAGCATGTACAGTGCAGTAATATGCACGCTACACAGTAAAGCAGAATCCTGTTAAGTTCAAACATTTACCATTACCAGCAGTTGCCTTAAGTTTTTTAAAGCTACTACACCACATCTTTTGAAGCTCCGAGGAGGACTGAAGTCAAACCTATCCCACTTAGAACCATTTCATATCCATCTGTCCCCGCCCCCTTCGCCACCAGGTGGATTGGATTACAATTCCCTAATCCCACAGCCAGCCTGTAGATCGTTAGTTCTACTTGGTCAGAGGACACCGCGGCTTAGAAGAAAAAAAGCGAGGCAAATTCTTGTCCGGCCTCCCCCACGCTGAGGTTCAACATAAAGCACAGCTCCCAGTATTCCCGATACTTGCTCCCGCTCACTCAGCAATGAGAAATCAAATCCAAACATCGACAAAGCACCAAGTTGGGGAACGCTGCCCTTCCCTTTTTTTTTTTTTTTTAAACCCAGTAAGCCACGCCCCCTGCCGTGCCTCTGCTAACCGCGCGCACGTGCTTGCCTCGTGTTTCCCTAGAAGGCGTCATGTGAGTGGTCCTTCCTTCTTTGAAAGGCGCGCCAATAAGGGTCGTCGGTTCCCGCCCCCTTCTTCTTCTTCCTCTTCTTCCTCCCCCCTCCCTTTCCGCTCGAGTCGTTCGCAGGTGCTCAAACGGAATGCCGAACCGCAAAGGGGCGCGCAACGCGTATTATTTCTTCGTGTTGGAGAAGTTGCCGGAGCTGAGGCGGCGCGGCCTGGCTGTGGCGAGCGTGTCCGAGGCCATCCCGCACTGCTCCGAGGATTGGGCGGTGAGGGGACGAGGCCGGGCTCTTTCTTCTGTTCAGCTCTGGGGACAGGGGGGCAGTATCGATGGAAGATTTGGCGGAGCAATGGCCCTTATTTACTGTGATGGTGTTTGCCTTGCTTCTCTAGGAGAGGCGCACGGCTGATAACGTAAATAAAGCGATTGTCTCTAACTACTCTACTTCTAGGTTTCCTATTCTTGTTGCAACTGAGTTTGATCAAAAATAGGAGTTGAACCACAGAAATGAGATTTTTTTTGCCTCTGTAGTTATCTGCTGAAAGAAGGCATGTAACTAAATTTGAAATCAGAAACTATTCGGTGCTACTATTTGGAAAGCTTTAGAATTTGAGGGGCGGGGACGCAAATCCTTTCAACTGTTTTAGATTGTAGATCCCATAATCTCTGACCATTGACCCTGCTGGTGGAAGCTATTGGTAAAAATATCTGGAAGGGAGAATAGGTGGGGGAATGTTACGTTATGATTTTCCCATTTGCACCACAATTGTAAATACGGCTGTACGTTCAGGAATTGCCTTAAGCACAGCAGCTTTGCTGAGAGCTGAGCTTGTGATACTGTACACACTTGTTGAGGAGTAAGACTATTCAAACTTGCATTAAAGCAAGTATATATAGGATTGAGTTGTAGGAAAGTTGCTAGGTGCATGCTAGCTAAAATTAAGCACTTCGACTTGAGTGGGAGTTGGATTCCAGTAGGAAGAGAAGTGCAATGCGAGTTTAAATATTTAGCTGGATTGTGCTCTTACCTTCACTGAAAATTTGGGAGGCCAGTTTATTAGGAGGAAATGATAGAAAGCTTATAATGCTTCTTTTCCAAGATGCTGACTGATGAACAAAAAGAAAAGTATGCAGAAAAAGCTCGTCAATGGAAAGCTAAGAAATTGGAAAAGGTAACTAAGAATTTTACCGTTTATAGTTTTCCTATTTTTGGGATCAAATTTTAATAGCTAGAGAACTGGAGGTGTATTAATAATTTTGGGAATCAGAAAAGTAATCCTGTTTAATATTTTTGGGGGAGTCCTGGGTGAGATGGGCAAAAGTATTCCAATGGTAGGTGTTACATAGTTCTCTGTGCTATTTTCTGCATGGGCCTCTTGGATTAAAATGTTTATTGAAATGTGGAGGGAGGTCAGTCTAGATGTTAATAAGGCAACTATTGCAGGAATAACTATTCTGAAGCATTAATTTATGCTAGTTATTTTGTCATATTTTAGGTTACTTAATCTTCCTTGCTCTCCAATTAAAAGTAGAAGGGAAAGTATCATCATAAGATTTTTAATGATAGCCAAGTTATCTACGTCACAAGCTTGGGGCAGTGTTCAAACTTGTAAGCATGAAGGGGCCATGTATGCTATCCCTTCCTCCTCCACCTTTTGAATAGGTGGGAAAAACTGTAACCATGTTCAGTTGAACACAGTTAAAAATCCTTTTGGACCTTGTTCAACATGAAGTTGGGGGCAGAGGAGGGCAAGAATGCTGGCACACAGAACCATTACACTTGATATTTTAACTGTTTGTATATGGGTAGTTTAAGTAAAACAGTCTTGTCAGAAAATACAGTATTCTGAGGAAAATTTATAACAAATGCTCATCTTCAAGGGTTGTTTGGGTTGTACAGAGGTGCATGTTCCATAATTATATGAGGAAGGCTTTTAGACTAGTTTGCAAATTTATATATAATGTTGGGATAGACAAGATTAGTCTTCTCTGTCTAATTGGATGTGGTTGCTTGTCTTTGATTCAGCACATAATTGATGGATTGTTTAACATTTTTCTCAGCCACCCTGCCAAGTCACAGCACCTCTTCCCACACAAACCCAGAATAGAGTTCCTGTTTCAGACATCAGCAGTGCACTTAGGAAGTGTGATCAAGGTAAAATAGAGTAAAAATAACTTGAATTTCTGGAGCAGTTCACCTCTCTTGTATGCATTCTGAAAATGGTGAGAAATGATGCAAACATTATTACTTTTTGTGACGTCGGGTGAAGTGAGAGAATTACGGAGACAGATGGAAGAAGGTACATCAACATACCACTTGTAGTTAGGAGTGCGTGAGAGAGTAATTGGTGGTCAACTCAGAGTGGAATGAGGCTTTATGAAGGCCTGCATATACAACAGGGGCCATATAGGAAGGAAGCAAAGCTATTGGACTGGTAGAATTAGTGGCAGATATGGAACAAGGGGTTGAGGTTCCAAGTAAATACAAGGTATTGTGGGATTTGGTGTTAAAACAAATTACTGTGACCCAGAGTACCGTTAAGCTTTTTGTGTAAATCATGAATAAACTCCCACTCAGATCATTTTGGTGCTTAGGGACTTCATATTTTTTCAAATTTAGAGTAAGATACTTTGGTTTAACACTTGTGTCCTCATGAAGTATCCCACTGAACTCCTCATAATACAGGCAATTAGTCCTTGTGCTTATTGAATTTGCAACACCTAGCTATCCCCACTGCAAACATTTTGTTTTCAAGTGATGCTCAAGTTTATTGCATTTGTGATCATAGCTGATTAGAAATTATTACTCATGGCAGCATTACAGTAACTACAAGGAGGGCTACTAAATCAGGAATTATGCACAGTTGCACAGCTTTGAAGTTACCAGTGATGGTGGTCTTGGTCTCAGCATTGTTTGGTTTTCTAGAGTATTGGCAAAATACCAAACATGCCTGGCTTGACTTCATGGTCATGTTGGAAAGGTTGCTGAACAAGGTCTGTGGGTTAAGGGGATTTCATGAGCTTGTCACCAGTGGTCTTAGTGAGGTTTGATGGTAACCCTTCCTTGTCCATGCAGGACAAAGTTGTGTAGCATTTGCATCAGAGATGGCAAAATATGGTCAGAAACTGGATCAGAAAAGAAATGGAATAGATGAAATGAAACTATAGGAAGGCAATGTGCCTGCAGTTGCATTGTCTGCATTGTTTTTCTTATTTTTTTCCTAAAAAAAATATTTCTGAAAACTTTGGGGTTCCTGCTGGTTTGTGGAGTTTTAGCTGTGTCTTTTCTGGAAAAACTACTGTACATTCATACAGCAATGTTTCTTTAATAAGGGATTGTCTAATTTAACTATTGACAGTATAGCATAACTAATGCTTCTTTTAAATGTTTGTTTTGTCCTGTAGTTGCTTCCTCTGGAAGTAGATTGTGACAGATTAATATTGTACTGAAGGAGCTTTTATACGTTTTGTATCATGGAAATTAACAAATTGGCTTAAATTGAGTATATCTGTGCCCTCTGAGACTAATATTTACAGCATTGGAAGGTTAAACACAACTGCCTATAATGTAATAGACTGGGAATCTTACAACATTTTCTTTTATTTTAAAACTTGGCAGATAGATGCCCTATTCATATGGCTAGAAATGATAAGAATTTCATAAAATCCATTGCTTTTCATTTAAGAAGGGGGTGCCCCTGTGAGCACCATTTTTATTTTTTATTTTATTTTTGGTTTATATCCTGTCTTTTTCCTACAAAGGGCTCAAGGCAGCTTACATCATTCTCTTCCATCTTATCCCCACAACAACAACCGTGTGAGGTAGGTGGGGCTGAGAGTCTGTGACTGGCCCAAAGTCACCCAGTTGGCTCCATGGCTGAGTGGGGACTAGAACCCAGATTGTCTGAGTCCCAGTCGCATGCTGGGACTGGGACTCAACCAGTACACCATGTTGTAGACTCTACCATACTGGAATGTTTGTGTACACTGTATTGGGGATTACTATATTTCTAAATGGCTACAACTGTGACAGATATATATTGAGTAGCCACTCCAGTAGCTTAACGTCCCAGTCAATGAAATATATTTCCTTTATTGCAATTTCTCACTGAAAAGTTATAGAGAATTCTCTTTTAAGTAGATGTTAGCTTCACGATTTCAGTGTGCTAAGAAAGCTTATTCTCAGCAGTATTATTTGCTGTCATAACCTTTGTTCAAATTCTTTTTCCAGTTGTACTTGAAACCTCATTCTATTTCCTGAATATCTTCAGCCATGGAGTGTTACCCCCTCATTGCAATCAGCGTTTCCTTCCTTGTGAAATTGGCTGCATCAAATACTCGCTTAAGGATGGCATAATTGCAGACTTCCATCATTTTATAGATCCTGGTGAGCTTTGGAAAAATGAGAAGAATGAATTTGAACTCTTTTGTCTGTTTGGGGTGAGACTGATTTTCCATCCTGTTCTAACAAACAGGTTTGCATTGGTTTAGGCTGCCTGATTTGGCTGTGTGCACTGTGGAAAGAAGAAAGTCTTTGGATAGTTAGCAAAATGTTGTTTGATAGCATTGCTTGACAAAAAATTAAAAATCAATTATTCCTGGGCTAGAGGAAAGCATGATATTATCCACTCAAGGTTCTTTTTATTTTTCTATCTTACTACTTTGTCTTTGCATTATCTCAGTAGTAAGCATTGTAAACAAAATCACAATGAGAGAAGAGTATTCAAACACTGAACCTGTGCTGTACACAAAAACATAAAGAATGGTGTTGTGACAGTTATGATTTATCTTGGATTTCTTTCTGGTCCTCTGCAGGAGAGGTACCACGGGGATTTCGTTTTCATTGCCAGGCTGCAGGTAAATATTGTCAAAGTTTTATGTCCCCATGTATGTTTCTCCAATAATTTTTTAAACAGCTTTCTTAAAAGAGGGTCAAGGTAAATTTCCCAGAAGTTTTTTTTAAATTTGTTTTATGAATGCAGTGTGTTCAGATTACCACATTACTTTTATGGTCTCAACCCAGACCTCTACCAGAGGCTTTTGTATAGTTCTTACTCTGGTGCTTATGTTCCCTGGTACAGGCATTGCATATGAACCTCAGGTATCACTTTTCCAGCAAAACCCAAAGCTTTCTAAGCATGCTTCACAAATTCTTTTACCCAAGGCTAAGATACTGTAAATTGCTATTGTTGAATAGGAAAGTCTTTTAAACTAATGCCATTCAATCATTGTTTGAATTTAAGCTAGTGATGTTCAAACACTGTGAGATCTTGGTTGATGTACTTAGTTCAAGCGGGTAGCCTAGTACTAACCTCACATATATGTGTGTGTGTGTGCGTGCGTGTACGCATGTGTATATGGTGACAATTGTTTTCTCACAAGGGATTGAATTAGCCTACTTTTCTCTATTTAAATAAAGCATAGTCAAATTTTAAAAGATAATACTTAAGCATTCTTAGACATATTTCAAGGTGTACATCCTGCAAAATGTAACTCAAGAATATATCTGACACTTCTAAAGGGGTACTGTCATAAGATATTTTTATATCATTTCTGTTAGGTGATATTACACACAAGATTCCCATATCTGGTTTTGAGCTGGCAACTGCAAATCATTCTGTTGTGCTACGTGAGCTATACACATTTATCCAGCCACATTGGGGCACATGGCCACCTGTGTATTGTAAGGTATTGTTTTCAAAACTTCAATTGCTTTTTGTTTCTCAGAAGTTGTCAGATTCCTACTCAAATATTTATTTGCTCATAGCAGATGTTAATCACAGGGCTAAGACCTGTAAGTGACCCTCTCAAGCCTGGAGGATATGGCTTTATGACTTTCACAGACAGGAAATACAGTAAGCTGGATACTGTGTGCAAAGCTTACTCCTTTCCAGCTGCTGAACCTAATATGAGAATGGCATCTTACTTAGTTTTGCCTTCATAATTAGCAATTGTGTGAATAGCACTTTAAAAAGTAAATCACGGGCATGGGGCCTGATCAAAACCCTGGTATGAGTGGCAGGTAGACTTTCTCCTTTGCAATCCTAATCCAGTTCAGGGCCTCCATGCCTGATATTTACATTGGGGGAAATGAGTGCTCATAGCAACTGTAAGGATTTGATCAGGACTAAAATGAGTGGGCAGGAGATTAACCCACTTTCACCCAGTGCCATGATTCAAATTGAATCTCCGCACTAATAGCTTTTTAAAAGCTATTCACCCAATTGCTAATGGAGTGAATGTTGTCTAAACTGGTTTGACCTCAGGTTATAAGAACTTGATCATTTTCTTTAAACTATAAAGGCTGAACATATGTTTGACACCTTCTCCCAGCATTGAAGGACTCTGAGGCCTGCTTGAAATTTAAATCTGTCTCTTGGTCCAATTAAGTTATGTATGTCAGATTGGTACAATGATGATTCTCAATGTGCTCTCTACTCTTAACATTCCTTAAGACAATATGGGTAACTTGAAGGAGGCCTTTCATAGTCAAGCACTCTTCAAAATGGGGCTCCAAGGAACTGTGTTGTGATGAACCCTGTTAGAATCAGTTCCTCAAAGCATTCACGGGCTTCTTGTGTTCAGCCCAGTCTTCCAAGGCAAGCCAAGCCAAGAGGAAGCCCATGAACAATTGCAGACCTCCAGTTGTGAAAAAAGGTTGCTGGTTGTACATCAGCTTCAACAGTCCAAAAGTTAGATGTAGCTGGTTCAGAATAGGGACATTGCTTGTGTCGCCAGGGGTTGCTTTCCTGGCAAGACCTCAAGGCTAGGCTTTTTTGGCATCAGCTGCAAATCCTGGCACACAAGAGGGGGGGCACGACTAGTGCAGCATGATGAGCTTCATTTCTGGCAAGTACCCCGTGAACACTTGGCATGCATGCCAGGAATTCAGACTCTGGGCTGCTGCAGCTCAGACCAGAGTCCAGGGAGCCAAACCCAAGAAATCTAATGAATTGTTTACACATTCCTAATTGGGACCACCACATTTTAACTTGTTCATAAATGTTTTAAGGGTAAAGTTTAGCAGTAAGATGACTCCTCATCTTAAATGCTCTAATATAGCTGGAACAATGAGAGTAGAAGTTATGCCTCTACTCACTTTTTTAGACTGTTCAGTTACACATCTTTTTACAAATATTTAACATTTAGACTGGATAGAACATGATCTGATTTAGTGTGAAGAATGAGACTAACTGCTCTTCTTGAAGCAGCTATCAATAAGTGAACTGCAACCATAGAGAATTTAAAATATTTTAGAGGCTTTGTGTTCTTCTGTTTCTTTCATTACATAACTGGATGTTTTAATCCTGACTTCTGTTTTTGTAGTCTGATGATCACTTTAGGGTCAACTGGTGCCTGAATCACATGGCTAGAGAAGCAGGTTAGAATTTAATATCCCTTCTGTTTAACTCTTTTTAATGTAATTTTAAATACTACCTTCATCTCCTGAAACTTCATTTCTCTAATAGGCACAGTAAATCATCTAGTGCTTCTCAGTGCGGAAGACCTTGTTGTGGATCTGTATTATCAGAAGCTTCAAAAAGAGCCTTCTAAGACTTGGGTGTGTAACACACTGGATGCCTCCATGTGGGATTATTCAGTCAATACCAGGTACAATATATAGCCTTTTACCTCTACTCCCTACGCTGTGAAAAAAGTATTGCATATGCCTGACCCACAGTATTTGTCTGCTGTGACTTTGTAAATGTTAACACACAAACTTATTAATTGATGAAATAAGCCGCATTCATCATCTCGCTTCTATTTGAAGTGCCTTTAAAAATTACTCCTTCCTTTACAGAAAACTACTAATTTAATTTGCATGTTCATTATGTTTGTGCTAAAATTTACCTACCATAAAAGCAAAACCACTGGAAATCCTTTACTATCCCCCTTAAAAGCCATGGATTGTCTTAAAATGCCTGCATTGAAAGAGTAGAGAAGTGTTAAATTTCTAATCTTGTAGGGAGTTTTAATACCTAATTTTTTGCCTGGAACTCAACATGATATTTGTCTTTGAAATATAGATCTGATATTCTGGATTCATAATGAAAGCTTGGTTTATATTTAGGTGCAGGTGGCATGAAGAAAATGATGTGCTATTCTGTGCTCTTGCTACTTGCAAGAAAATTGCGTGAGTACATGAAGTACCTTAACAATTTAAGAATGCTTTTGTATTTTAGAAAATACGAAATTACTTTGTTAGATTGATCATTACTGTTAGCCCTATACAGTGTCTAAGGTTGTTTTGTCTGTCTTCAAAGCATCTGGATATTTCTATATATTCTCTAGTGGGCATTTTGTCTGCTGCGATTGAATGAAAGGCCAGCTGTGTGCTTTTGTGGCATTACTACTGTTATAGGATAAAGGGTTTTTTAACTGTTCTGAATAAGATAAATCTTTTTGAGTGATATTTGGCAATCCTCTGGGTTTGTATTGTTACTAAGGCCTCTTTCAGTTCAGGGAGGAAAATTTTTGACACTTGTTCTAGTTAGTTGAATATATTCTAGAGCATGGGTCCTCAAACTTCAGCACAGGGGCCGGATCCAGCCCATCACGCCCATTTGTACCTGCTGCATGTGTGTTTGCTTGCTCGGCGAAATGATCTCCAAGCGAGCAAGCCGCTGCCTCATGCGCCCGCCTCACAGCACATGCCTGTCCCGCCTCGCCTCATCTCCCCTCACACTTCACCTCGCTGCGTGCCCTGCCCTCGCTTCAGCGTGCGCACCTGCACCCACCACCCCCGCCCCCTCCCTGGCCCATGCACACTGCCGACACCACCTTTCCAGCCTGCAACCAGCACCGGCATCTTTCAGCTGGCCCGCTGGTGAAAAAGTTTGAGGACCCCTGCTCTAGAGGGTGATCTGCCACACATCTGCACAAGCTATTAAAATTGATAAGCAATCTTTTTGGCCCAGAGGACTCCAGACAGTACTGGATGGCAAGTCAAAGTCTCTACACATGTGCTCTTTCCTGAATCCTACATCCGGCTTCATAGTACTGAATAGTAATCTTCTATTTATTCTCTTGCTGCTGTTAATGTTTCCTTAGTTAATGCCTCTTCCATCCCAGCAATTGAGAGTCCTGTTGCACTGGAAAAGAGGTTGTGCAAGGATAGTTACCCCCTTGTTTTTCCCATCCCTGGGAATAGGGAAGCTCACCCCAATGATTTTAAACAAGATTGTTGGACTAAGAAGCCCGATTGTGAGATTGGGCCATTGGGAGTTTAGTATACAGGAAGGAATCTTCTCCATGTTGCCTCTTAGTATGGCTGGGTTCCCAATAGTCTACCAATCCCTTTGGGGGAAAGAAGGGATTGGTGGGGATAATTTCCAAACCAAACCTCTTTACCAGCCCAATTGGGCTCCTGAGACCTGCCAAATACCTGTTTGGCCTGTGCAGAGCTTAATATTGTTCTTATCCTAAACACATTTTTGCCAGGAAGGAACACTGGAGAAAGGGTGGCAACACTGACAGGCCGCAGTTGCCCTTATCTTAAAAGAAAAGCATGGGGTTGACAAGAATCTGCATTCCTTTGTTTCTAGTTCTGAGAGCAGCTGAGGAAGATCTTCTCCTTCCTCCTATAGACAGCTCCTCAAATCATGCCCACTTCCTGTTGCAGTTAAATTCCCTACTCTTGAGCTGGCTCTAGTCTGTGCTCTGAAGGAGGGGGTATTTCAGATCTCTGTTCTTACAGGTTTCTGTTTTTCTGCAAGAAAATGCCAAAAAGATTTGCCAGAATCCTTTTCCTTCTTTGGGTCACCCAAGGTGGTCTCCCACCTCTATGTTGTATTTCCTTGGTGATAGAATGATTAATTTGTTTAATCACTGTATTGTTGTGCTCCCACCCTTCATTTTGTTTATGTGCTATTAATAGTCATTGGCTTGTAAATAAAAGAATTTGACATCCAGGGATATTCCAACATCATGCTTACACTCTACAACAAAATAATGCATTTTTCTTCAGTATCTGAATATCATTGTCCTTTCTTTCCCATTGTAGGTATTGCATCAGCAATTCTCTAGCCAATATGTATGAAATCCAGCTAACTTCATCACATTTACCCCTACGTGAGAAGGATTCTCAAAGCACGATTAACCCTAAGATGATAGTACTGGATGCTGGCCGTTTCCAGGTCATTTAATAAATGGTGCTTTCTCCTACAGCTGTTGGTATTGTTCCTGAAATCTGCTTAGAAACATGTTAGCAAGCTTTCTTTGGATTGTGTTTTCATGATATAATCTATAAATTTGTGATGTAACACTTTGTGCCTTTTGATAAGGGCTTTGATTTTATAGTTTAAAAGAAGTGCTAGGCATGCATTCTTTAAACCTGTTTTGCTCGGGTTTAATGATCTTCCCAGGGATCTGGCCGCCTCCTGTTCATCAAACTTCATACACTTGGCTTTCACTTAGGAAGCAAACCAAGCTGAGAGGAAGTCCATGAATGCTTGTGAAACTCCACTTGTGCAACTGGTAACCTTCTGGTGCAGTACATTCAGTGTGAACAAAGGCTGCAAGTCATATGCAAGGAAGAGGGACAGTGCTTGTGCAGCATTCACATGGGCTTGCTTCCTGGTGGGTAAACGCTCATTGTACTCAACAGGAAATCAGGCTAACAGTCCCAAGAAAGCAGGCTAGAGTCCAAGGAGCTGAGTCCAAGGAATCTGAAGGATTCCCACCCCCAAAATTATTCCTCTCTCATCCTTATTCATGCTTATTATAAGCTGCCTTAGGAAAAATTTCTATTTTAATATGCAGTACTATAAAATCTATTTGATATATTTTGTAGTACTGCCTTTTGACTAAAATAGAAATTTTTCCAAGGTAGCTTACAATTACAGTTATCAAACAAGTAAGAACCAGTATCTGTTAATGTTTTAAACTGGCATATAGGCAAATGTCCATTAATAACCAAATACTTCTTGCTTTTAGGATCTCTGTCAAACCTGGTGATTGAGTTACTGAATGAGCTTACAAATCTGTTCAAAGCATGCATGTGTTTGGTTTTGAATTACAGAAGCTGAGGACTGAGGGCCCCGGAAATGATGGATACTTCAGAACACTTAACCAGGATCGAGGTGCCACACCTTGTAGTAGTAAGTAGAGGTTTATTTTGGAAATTTACATGTGGTAAAAAGATGTTGCCATTAGAATCCTGACAAATCTGTTTCACATTTGTACCCAAAATGTACTTCTGTGTAGTCTAACCGTAGCATATTGTCTGCCTGTTCTATTTATGGAGCGTTAGGCTGCTTGCCCACTGCAGTCTGATGCCTTATCACAATTAAAATATTTGAAATAATAAAATTAATGTTCTTTGAGAAATACAGTTAAATTGAACAGTTTTCTCTGCAATCAGTGTAGATAAATTTAATGGAAAAAAATCCTTCAGAGATGAAAAATATTGAACAGATAGTGTCTCTATTCTCTCTAGAAAGTAGAGCTATGTAAATAGGCTTTGTCTAGACTCTTCCTTTGGGAGAAAACATCTAGTTCTTAAAACCTGTATAGTTCTGCATATGGCTTTTGTACCTACACAGAGCAGTATTTAGATCTCATAGAGCTAAGTGATGAAACATTTTTGACAGGAAGCCTGGCCCACAGGTCACACTCAAAGGAATGGCCTCCATCTTCCCATTCAATTACTTCTTAACCATTACTTACTTCTTAACCATCATAGTAGCTTCCCATTTTGAATTTTCTCCCTTCAAATTCTGTTGAATAGCTGGATCTCTGTTTATCTTCAGTTTGTTAATTTTTGCATTTTTATTTTATTTTACTAATCTAAAATCTGTCAAATCAGTTGCAGCACAACACATATTTAAGAAGTGTACCAACTGTGGCAGCCACCTTTCTGCATTAGACAGACTGCCTTTACTGGCTGGGTGAGAACCATGTGGTTGGAACCTGTCCCATTGTCAAATGTTTACAGGACAGGCAACCCCAAATGAATTCCCCTGTGTTTGACTCTGCAGCCAAATCCTCTGGAGTTAGGTACCAGGGTTCTGAGCAAGTAATGTCTTTGAACAGCTACTGTGGCTGATTGTCACCATTAATTACTCTGAAGGAATCAATTGCCCCTGATCCAACTTAGGCCTATTGAAGTTTGGTAGGAATGTTTACATCTTTTCAGTGATACCAGTGGTGACTTTTTTAAGACTGCAGGAAGAGGTGTGTAAATTTGAAAGGCGAACTTGGCTTGGGAGGAATATTTTAAACCCACCCACACATGGTCTTGGATGTTTGCTTCGTGATTCAAAAAACATGAAGACCAGCTGCATAGTATCTATTTCAGCCTTTTCCAGTTGCACTCTGCCTCATTGATTCAGGGATCCATGACAGATTTGGTTGACAATCTCAAATACTGTGGTCTTCTCTAGCCATATTAAGATGTTAGGAGCAGGCTCACTAAGCACTGTTGCATTCACGGTGTGCTGCTTTCCCTGCATTGGTTGGCACTAATACTGGCTTGGATACCACATTTCACCATGATGGCAGCCTTTCACTGTCCATGTAAGTGAAACAGGGTGGATTGCTTTTCCAAGAGGTAGAAACAATTTATTTTTCTACAGTTGGCACCAAGGCTGAGATTCATCCACACTATTATGTTCCAGATTACTGTTCAACTTTCACACCCATACATAGTAAAGAAAACTGACAAGAATAAAATCAATGTGCTCAGTCCATGGTGCCAGAGGAGAGGTGTGCAAATCCTGGGCTGACAAAGACAAAAGGGGTCTTAGCTCAAATCAAGTCTGAACTTTTCCTAGAAGCAAAAATAACACAACTGAAGCTGTTATACTTCAGGCACATCATGAGAAGGCAACACTCCCTGCTAGGGAAAGTGAAAGGCTAAAGAAGGGGAGGAAGACCAAATATGAGATGGATTAAGTGGAAAAAACAATTTCTTGTTAAGTACTTTCAAGTTTTTTCTGACTCACGTCAACTTTATGAATGAAAGCCCTCCAAAATGTTCTGTCCATGACAGCTCTGTTGAGCCCTGTTCTAAATTCAAGGCAGTGACTTCCTTTATGAAGTCAGTCTATCCCATATTTAGCTGTCTTCTGCCTTCTACTTTTTGTAGCATGAATATCTCCTCCAGAAAGTTTTGCCTTCTCATGATGTGCCCAAAGTATGGCGCCATCAGTTTTGACATTATGTTGCTATGAAAAGCACTGGCTTGATTTGATCTAGGACCCAAGTGTTTGTTTGTGTAAGTCCAGAGTATTTGCAAAACTCTCCTCCAGCGCCATAGTCTAAACACATTGATTTTCTTCCTATCAGTTCTCTTGACTGTTCATCTTTCACACCCATACATTGTGATTGGGAATACAGTAGTGTGGATAATCTAATGCGCTCTACATGGGGCTTCCCTTGAAAACAGTCTGGATACTTCAGCTGGTACAAAATTGAGCTGCCAGTCGGCTGATGGCGACCAGTTGTTATTCTCATATAATGCCAGTCCTCTACCAGCTACATTGGCTCCCAGTTGAAGGCCAGGCCCAATTCAAAGTGCTGGTTTTAACCTATAAAGCCCTGAACGGCTTGGGACCAAGATACCTGAAGGAGGGCCCCTTCCCTTACATGCCCTCATGCCCCTTAAGGTCTGTGGAAGAGGCTTTGCTTCGGGAACCCTCTTTAAAGGAGATAAAAAGAACAACTACCCGGAGCAGGGCCTTCTCTGCGGTGGCGCCCAGATTATGGAATGTGCTCCCTGGAGAGGTGCGTCCGGCACTGAGTTTATATTCTTTTTGGCGCCAGGTTAAAACCTTTTAATTGCTATTTTAAAAACTAATATTTTATCATGGAACAGTTGTACTTTGTTTTTGTTTTTTTGTCCTTATCTAATCTTGAAGATGTTGTTCATAAAGATCATTATATTGTTTTTAATTGTATGTATTGTGAGCCGTCCGGAGATGCCAAGACATGTGGTGACGGCATACAAGTTTTAAATAAAATTGACCTTGGTCACCAGTGAAGTGTCTTTGATGACCTTTTCCAGTTCCTTCATTGCTGCTCTTCCACATCTCAGTCATTTTTGAATTTTTAGTCTGCAGTCTCCCTTTGAATTGATTGCTGAGCCTGAGGTCTGTAAACTCACAATTTCTATTTTTTCATTGTTAACAGTAAAAAGAATAAATTGAAAGAGTTTACATACCTTCTTCTGTGATCATGATTTTTGTTTTCTTAATGTTCAGATGCAGCCCTGCTTTTGTTTGCTTCTTTCACTTTCATCAGGAATCATTTCAAGTTACTGCTGTTTCTTGCTAGTAAGATGGTACATCATCTGTATATTTTATTGATGTGTTTTCTGCCAATTTTCTCTCCATCTGATCTTAATCCAGCTTTCCTTATGATATATTCTGCATACAGATAAGGCAATAAAATACACCCTTGTCTAGGCCCTTTGCCTATGGGAAACCACTCTGTTTCTCAGTAGCCTATCCTCATGGTAGTGTCTTGTCCACGATACAGGTTACACTATGTCAAATATGGCTGCTACACAGTTTTTCCATCCCTTTGCATTTCTTTTCTTGTGGATTGGAATGTATATTGGAACATTTCCAGTAAATGGGCCATTGTTAGAAACATAGAAACCACAAGTCAGAAGGGGTCTCCCAGGCCATCTAGTCTGACCCCCAGATCCAACCTGCTCTGCTCACGACATGCCTACCATGTTTTTTCCACATCCTTTGGCATTTTCTTGTTTAGGTTTGGGCAGATTCAATCTCTGCAGCTTGGAATTGTTCTATTGGTATCCTATCTATTCCTGCTGCTTTATTCCTCGCAAACTCTTTCAGAGCACCTTTCACTGCACTTTCTAATATTGCAGTCTCCTCGTAGGATTCCTCTTTGAAGAAGTCTGTCACCCTTGCATCTCTCCTGTATATCGTATTTTTCGCTCTATAAGATGCACTTTTTTCCCCCTCAAAAGTAAGGTGAAATGTCTGTGTGTCTTATAGAGCAAATGTGTGTGTGCCCGATGCCCGGGACGCTGCTGGCCTGCCTGCACCATGTGGCTGGTGCGTGCTGCTCCACCACCACCACCCCCCCCCCCGGTGCAGGTGAGAGCTGTGCTGCTCAGTGGGAGCGGAGGAGGAGCCGCCGCGGGCTTTAACCCGCCGGCTGCACGGAGAGACGG